CCAAGTGGCCACATCCAACCCGTCCACATCTTCTACCCAAACTCCCACTGGGAATAAATTCACACCTCTTCAAGATGAAGAGACAATGGAAACTCAAAACGACGCAGCAGATCCGGACTCAGAAGATGCCTCACTTTCAGAAGACGCAAACTCTGATCCAGAATTCAGGTCAAAACGTCTCATTTATCGACAACAACGCAAGAAAAGGAAACGCGGAAATTCACCACAGGATCCTTCAACTGCAAACAACGCACTCAACAATAAGGATAAGTCTATTGATAAGAACTCTACTAATAATTCTAATGTTAAGATAGATAAGAAACCCCTTCCTCCTCCTCCAATTAAAGTTGTAGGCATTAAGGAATTTGAGAATCTCAAAAAAATTTTAAAATTAGCTTCTCCTAACGAAGATTATAGTATAAGGTTTTTAAACAATGAAACTTGGAAGGTAAATCCATCCACAGATGAATCCTTTCGATTAATAACTGAACATTTGAATGCTGAAAAAGTGCAGTGGTATTCGCACTCAAACAAAAACATCAGAAACATAAAAGTTTTATGTAAAGGCTTACATCCATCCATGCCTGAAGAGGAAATTATGCAAGACTTACCTGCAAAAAATTTCAAAATCAAATCGGTAGTCTGCATGCGCAAAAGAGTAGAAAAGCAAATAAAAAAATCAAAAGTCTTAGATTCCTCCGATAAAAACTTAGAAGATAAAACAAATACCTCTGAAGATAATTTCAATGTTCCGAAAAAAACTATCAAGGAATACGAGTTGGTCAAAATTCCGATTCACCAACTCGATTTTGACCATACCGACTCAATTGAAAATATATTTAACATCAAAGCAATTGCCCACACAATTGTTAAAATTGAGCAAATTAAAACAGATCCCACCTTGGTGCCTCAGTGCAAACGCTGTTGTGGTTTTGCGCATACAGCAAATTACTGTGCTAAGACACCAAGATGCGTCAAATGTGCTGGAAAACATTTTTCACATGAATGTGTTTTCCAGGGCAAGATCATTAACCCCAAATGTGCTAACTGCGGTGCTGTAGGTCACCCGGCCAGCTACAGGGGCTGCCCTTTCGCCAAGGAATTCCAAATGGCGAGAAAACAACAACTCAAACGAAAGAAAAACCCGGAAAATAATGAGAAAAACTTTCCCCAAATGGGTAAAAAAAATAAAACAACAAACGTAGCTAAGCCAAAGCCATTAGAAAAGTCTTTTGCGCAAGCAGTTAAAAATGATGAGTCAAACTCCAATCAATCTGATATTATCAGCACGCTTCTAAAAACCATCGAAGCACTCAATGTACAAATTCAATTGTTGAACGAAAAAATTAGCCGCTTAGAAGCCCGAGCTAAATAAATGATTCATCTTTTCTTTGTATTTTTATGTGTAATATTGTTAGTGAAAATGTCTATTTGTCTTTTCCAAATAATGATGACTGTCCTTTTTTCGAGCAGGATGACGCAGTCATTAATTACGATGATGTAGTGCAGCTTCCACACACGAAATCTGATAGAAACCTGAAGTCATTAAATTTTATGGCTTGGAACTGCGGTGGGCTGACACGGGTGAAGGCCGAGCAATTCAATGTCACGCTAAGAGATTTCAATGTGGACGTAGCCCTTCTGTCGGAGACCTGGTTCACAAGAAACGACTACAAGAGGTATTTTGTGGGGTATAGAATGTACCTACAACGCTCTACACCCTGCCAATAAACATAGAGGTGGATCCTCAATTCTAATAAAAGAAAATTTAAAACACAATTTAATTAAACTTATAGAAACACCAGCATTTCAAAGCGCGGTGATTAGATTAGAGACAGAAATTGGAGAGTTTAACTTGGCTTCACTCTATACCCCACCTCGAAATATTCTCTCACCTGATGATTATTCCAACTTTTTTGATGAACTGGGTCCCACTTTTATGGTAGCCGGAGATTGGAACGCAAAGGACCCTACATGGGGTTCCAGAATAACTAACCCAAAAGGAAAATCCCTTCTGGAAGCAGTAAATTTAACAGGTGGAAGTTTTGTCACTCCAGGGAAACCTACGAACTTCCCATATGATCCTAAACATAATCCGGATCTAATTGATTTCTTTGTATATAAAAATCTAAATTTAATAGATAAAACAACTTGTGACATATTACCCCCTCCTTTACAGGGTCATGCAAAAGTAATCATGTCCATATTTACAAATCCAGTCTTGGTTGACAGACCCCCAACTTTCTGTTCAAAAAAGACAGACTGGGATAAGTTTCGGCAAGACTTAGATAACCTTATTGTTAACAGCGTTCCAATCTCCTCTCCTGTGGATATTGACAGAGAGACTGAACTGTTAGTGGAACAAATTCAAAAATGTGCGAGAAATAATACCCCTACGGCAACTAACAACTCTCGTCCTTACACAATACCAAAAGAATTATTAAATTTAATTCGAACAAAACGGAAAGCTCACAGAGTTGCAGCAAATACTAAAACCCCTACTGATAAAAGTCACTACAACCGTCTTAACAAAATAGTTAAGAAACGCACACAAGATTTTCTTAACAAAAAATTTGAAAATTTCATTGAATCACTCTCACCAACAAAAGACAAAAATTACTCTTTATGGGCAGCTACAAGATATCTGAAAAAACCTAAACAATTAAAATTTCCAATCAGAAAAGCAAATGGTTCTTGGGCCAATTCAGATATAGAAAAGGCTGAAGTTTTGGCCGATCATTTTGAGGCAGCTTTTAAGCCTCACAATGACATCGAAACAGATTCATCTTTATCAGATTTGGAGGGAGCTTCCACTGACAGTTCGGTCTCAGAAACACAAAATCAGGGGGAGGCGTCAGCATTGAAACCTCGTAAAAAAGTCAGAAAGATTCCACCAGTTAAAATTAAGACCATTTCTCCTTCAGAGCTCTCCAAGGAAATTAAAGGAAAGATCAAAATTAAGAAAGCTCCAGGCTTCGACAAAATCTCAGGTTTAATCTTGAAAAATTTACCCAAAAAAGCATTAATGAAACTAGTTGCTATTTTCAACGCAGTTTTTCGCTGTAAATACATTCCAGCACAATGGAAAATCGCTGAAATCTTTGTTCTACTGAAGCCTGATAAACCACCAGCAGAAGCAGCTTCCTATAGA